GTGGATGGCCGGAAAACACGTGCCCTTCCGGCACACGTCGCGCATTGTATGGTTTTATATTATCAAATCCTTCGTGTTTTACTCTGGAAAAGCTTTTTGGTTGGATTGTGTGGACAGAAGAAGGAAAATCTCAAGTTTGGGCAGCAGCGGCCAATCTTTGGACAAGAGTGAGGAGTGGGCGGCGTGGGTGCCGAACGGAAAGCGAACACGGCGACGTGACCGCCGGTGACTGACATGTTTGTGTGGTTTGAAAAAAAGGTTTGTTAATTCAGGTTTCCATTTTCTGTTGGAGAGAGGGGAGGGAGAGGGAGAGAGGGGGTAGCTTGACTACAATTTTTTCTGGTTCAGTAATTTTGGCAAGAGACACGGGATGGTGAATGATGTGATGTCCAGGTTTCTCGATAGATATACCAGGCAATCACAGCCTACTTCTCTCTTCTTGTTCCTTGGCTGGATGAAAACCCGGACGGGTTGACGAATATTGTGTATGATTGAATTATACAGAATCGAAAATCAAGTTTGATTGGGGTTGAAATCGAACTGAATTTTCGAGTTACATCTTTCATATTTTAATTTATATTCAATTATAATTCAAATAGAAAATTATATTCAATTAAGTTTAGATTTAACCTTGAGTGCACAATCCTATTATTGTCCAAATTTAAGTTGAGTTTATATTCTCTCTTCGTTCAGACACAACTGAAGCAAAAATTGTCCAAAGTACTTACCATTGAAGGTTGGGCTTTTATGTTCATGTTGATCAGCTTAAGTTTTAACCATGATTTGTTTTTTGGGTAAATAAGTAGTAACCATGTTGCAATGTGCCAATGTCTATTATCATGTACCCTTTTCAAGCCAAAAAAAATATTACACCGTTTGACTTTCCCTTACGAGTGCCATGTTTATCAGTGGATTAGTATATGCTATATTGAAGAAATTTTTCAATGAATTTACCACACCGCATGGTAGTACCATTGAGTATACATCACCTATAAAAAAATTATAAATGTCCAATGAATTTTTTTCTTTTTGAAAAACTCAATTTATATGTATCCCACAAGTTATTTTTGTGGTATCCTCTCATTGAGTGTGCACACTACATGGTAGCGTCACATGGTATGTTAAAGTCATACACAATTCAACCATACTATGCTGACCAAAATTTCTTGTCAAATTTTTCATCTCAAATTATGTGATATAGTAATTTTTACCATCAAATAAGTGGATCTCATTATATTTAATGATGAAGATTGTATCATATCAATTATAATGGAAATTTTGGTAAGAAACTTAATAAGTAAAACATTACTCTACAAAATTTTCTCTAACTATTGGGTTATGTTAATTATTCAACGGTTGAGATGACACATTTTTATTTTTAAAGAATGGTTGTTTCTGGCCAAAAATAATTCGCATATTAAAATAAGAGAAATATTATTGAGACTTAAATCTGATATAATTTATTGAAATAATGATGTAACAATGATGAAATTATAAAGAAGTCCAAAAATTACAATTATAATAATACTATTTGAATCTATTAAAGGGACATAATCTTGAGATTTAATTCAATATAACCATTAAATTAAAAGTGTGCTTTGTCTAAAATTGAAACTCATAACTTATTAAATTATTATATTTAATTAGGTCTATAAATGAAGTCCACATAGCATTGTCTTACTATTGTCTTAATATTCATCAAGTTATCATTAATAACCAATTTTTGGTTATATAGCATCCAAATTGACTTCCATATAATGTTGTAGTTAGAAACCCAAGCGGAAGTATTTAATTTTCTAAATTGAGCGATGATATTGAAACATAATTTATTAAGTTGATTTACTGCGGTCTTTAGATTTATTGTAGATTCTATCAAATATTAAAATTTGGTGTTGATCGAATGATTCCACTTAAATTAAATCATTAAGTCAATATATTAAATTAAAATTTTAAGTTCAAATATCGTAACTCTTTTTCTAAATTCAAGTGGCGGGAAGCCAACCTCTTGTCTTGTGATAGCACACAAGCCACGGCTTTTTTTGCAAAGTATGTCTTTTTTAATGTGTTAATTGAGTTATTATGATTAAAAAATTAAAATTTATGAGTTATTATAATTAAAATTTTTAATTTAAATAAATTATTGTAATGAAAAAATTATATCGTCATATGAATCGTCGGAAGAAGCTCTCTGTATTATTATAGGTAGAGTAATGTTATATTAATTAAATTTTGGGATCAAATTTGAAACTCAAATGAAATCTCAATTGACTTGGATTTTTTTATTTGATGTCATGTCATTTAGGTCCCAACAAAAACTTTAAATAGTCAATTACCATGTTATTTAGAATCTAAATTTACTCTTAAAATTGAGTCGGCTAACTATAACATTATAGGTACCGTTGTATTCTATAACTGTTTCTGAGCCAAGCAAGGATGCGCACCTTATCCTTTTCTTTTCTTAAACTGTGACAGAGCGCCTCCTTTTCTTTTCTTACAGAGAGAGAGAGAGAGAGATGAACTTGCAATACCCTGCCATCATCCTCCTCCTCCAACTAGTAAGTCTTACTCATTTAGCCAAATCACATGAACTCTTGCCAACCCCCAAACCATGGCCAGAACAGTTCCATTCACTTCTATACACAAACCTGTCAACCAATCGCCTCCTAATCAGCAACATGTGGTATGATTGGCCAAAGGGTCGAAATGTGTACACCAGACAGCAACAACTTGATGTGCTTCTATATGCAATTGAATGGAACAATGGCACCACAGTCTACTACTCCCTTGGGGCAAATGCAACCTGCGACAATATCTACTTCGGAATCGGAATCCCGAGACCGGACTTTCTCGACGGAGCAAATTATCTGGGGACCGCGGTAGCTGATGGATTTCTGTGTAATGTTTGGGAGAAGGTTGAGTTTATAGTGTACTACGAGGATGTGCTCACAAAGAGGCCAGTCAAATGGGACTTCTCAGATGGTTTGTGATCTTTTTTCCTTTTGATTTTCTTTGTGCATGTAGTTATAGTGGTCACAAAATCATAGAAACACGAATATCTTGAAGGATAATAAATGCTTATTCGCCAGCACGATACGCTGCGAGTTCGAGTCCGAGAATTTGAATTGTGTAAAGTTTATCTAACATATCTTTCACAAGCTGAGATACAGGTGAGAAAGTATTGTGTACCAGGTGGGTACGACATTTTCTATTTTTCATGAACCCATGAAAATTTTTTCATATTTTCTCGGCGCAATATTATAAGGACTTAATTTAGAGATCGAATTCAATGCGGTCGTTGGATTAGTTCGAAATTCTAGTGTTACATGAAACACTTTTTTAAATTAAATGTTGTATTGAATTAGATCTTCAAATTAACTCTCTTAATTACATCCAAATAGTAGTTTTCATTTTCTTAACGTGCATCACTTTGACTTCTATATTGACCTCTAATGTCCCTTGAATTATAGGTTGATTGATTATTAATTTCATATTTACAACATATTCTCAAGCCCAAGAGATCCAATACTTGAAATGAAGATAAAATTGTCAATCACTTACCTCTTTCAAATTCTATTACAGTACAATTGAGAATATGGTGTATTGGATACTACTTTTTCATTGAGGAAACATTTCAATTAAGATTCTGCCTTTTTAACGGTGGTCCTCTGCATTGTTTCAAAAGACCGATTCCCAAACTAGAACCCATTATGTATCGCTTTGGTGAATGAACACTTGTTATCATTCGAAGTCTGACTTCTATGCTAGATTGAAGCATTCATATTCGTAAAATAAGAGACAATTGTCTATCTATGAGAGAATATTATCTGCAAGCTTCTACAACAATGGAATTGCCCTTGCAATATATGGACAACCAGTACTTGTAAGAGCCACGAGGGACGAATAATCAAAAGGGAAAGGAAACAAGGATCAAAATCATTTCCATTACACATTTACTCAAAAAAATTTCGGTAATAGGGTCCTACTTAAATTCATGGTAGATAATTTATCATTGAATGAAGGTATAATGGAGAGGATCTCTATCCAGGCAAAGGATAGGTATAGAATTTGTCAACAAGAGAACAGGTAGTGTAAGCACATTTATTTGCTTCATTTCTGTATTTATTTATGATGATTGCTGACTATCTATTGTGCAAATTTATCATCTAGGAATTTCTACACACATGATTACCTTTGATGTTGGAGAAGTGTTGCCTGATTCAGTGATTCAAGCTCCTGATTACTGTTTTAACCAGAACAAAGACATGGGAACCATGAGAGCAAATCCTAGCAGCAGATACATGGCAGAGCTTCATTTGATGGGAGAACCACATTGGGATGCTTGATTTACATCTCATTAAAATGCATACCATAGTTGACATATACATTTGCATTTCACTAGTCCTTGCTAGGTTTAAGATCAGAACTCTGGAATTGTCCAGTCCGATCAATGCTTCAACTGTGGCGTTGATGGTGAGGTCTGCCATGCCGGTTTGCTTCTCAGTGATTGTGGAGAAAGTTTTTCCAGTCATGATCAGGTGCGAAGTTAATGGGGTTTTTCCATTTCTAATGTGAAATTGCTGTACTTAGCTACTGGGGTTTTCATTGCTAATAGAAAATTGAGCTTTGTAGACTAAAGTTGAACATGCTTAGTTATAGAAGCATAAATAATCTTGTTCCTTGGCTTTTGTGATAAACATACATTTCGCTTCAGGTATATATTTTGTAGAGGACCACTTGTTTTATGAAGATTTTGATAATAAAACATTTGACAAGAACGATACACAGTATGTGATGATCGATGCTCATAAGAGTACCCGTGCAACTTACAAATTACACCAAACTGGTGTATTTATATTGGGAAAGTATGCGTTCTTATATATGAGGAGTGATAGAATTGATAAGGACATGAGTTTGCATGACTGGTTATTTCTCCTTGAAAGTGGGGTGGAAATTCAAATAATCTCATAGTTAGGGTAAGATTATGATATCGAAAAGTGATTATTTTTTGGCACCGTACCCTTCTAATAAATAACATGTGGTATGATTGGCCAAAGAGTCGAAATGTGTACACCAGACAATGGCAACTTGGTGAACTGAATTATGAGGTAGAATGGAACAATGGCACCTCCTTCTACTACTCTCTTGGCGTAAATGGAACCTGCGACAATCTCTACTACAGCATCGGAATCCCCGAGACCGGACTTTCTCGTTGGAGAAATTATCTGGGAACCACGGTAGCTGATGGGTTTCTGTGTAATGTTTGTGAGAAGGTTGAGTTTGTAGTGTACTGTTAAAATTGAAGATAAACAGAGATTCATCGAGAATTGTTGTAAAAGAATTGTGCATATGGATGCTAAATACAATAATAAAGAGAGATCAAAGAAACTTATCAGTAAAAGCATGAATAATCACTGCTCTTAAGGATAAATTTCACTCCTCAGAGTACGAAACTCGGTGCAGCAGGACAATGGCGACTATCCTCCATGATACAATGACTGCTTCTCGCAAACGTGCACTCATAATGTGAGGAGCAAGGAACAACTCGAACTGGATTAGTCCACTGGTTAAAATTATTGAAAAAACTAATGAAGAAATAATTTTTGTGAAGACGAAAGAAGAAGGCTTCGGTATTTTGGCTAAAGAAAAGCTGATGTCTTTCGTGATAGAATTACAAGTTTATAAATGGAAGTCAATGCAATTAAAACTCTAATAGAGGAGATTCTAGTCACAGGAGCAAAAGTAGCGAAGTAGTTTACATCTTTCCTTTGTGTATAGCCCTTAGCTACCAATCAAACCTTAAATTTTTCAATTGATCCATCAGGTTTAAGTTTCTTTTTAAATATCCATTTACAACCTATGGTCTTAGTTCCAGGAGGCAAGTCTACTAATTCCCAAGTGTGGTTCTGCATAATAGATCTAATTTCATCATTAATTGCCTCCTTCCAGAATGATGCGTCTAGAGATGCAATAGCCTCGGTATATGTTAATGGATCATTGTCTATTATGAATGTATAATATTCATTTCCATAATTATTTTCTTTCCATTGTCTCTTACTCCTTCTTAACTCTATTTCTAAATTTACAGTTGTTTCCTTTTCGATCTCACTACAAGAAATTTGGGATATTTTTTCTAACTTGGATTTTAGAGGAAATATGTACTCAAAGAAATCAGCATTCTTAGTCTCAATTATGGTATTAGGCTCAAGTACATCACTCTTAAGTACTATAAATCTGTATGCAACACTATGTTCAGCATATCCTATGAACATACAATCTGAGGTTCTAGAGCCTATTTTTCTTTTCCTTGGTTCAATTAATATTACTTTTGTTAAACACTCCCACATTTTTAAATATTTTAAGTTGGGTGCGTATCCTTGTCATAACTCATAAGGTGTCTTTCCAGTTTTCTTGTATGGTATCCTATTTTGGATATGACAAGCAAATAGTAAAGCTTCCCCCCACATGTTATTGGGTGCTCCTGAACTTATTAGCATAGAATTCATCATTTCTTTAAGTGTTCTATTTTTCTTTTCTGCTACTCCATTCAACTCACGTGAGTATGGTGGCATTATCTCATGAATGATTCCTTCTTTTTCACAGAATTCATCAAGTGGGTGATATTCACCTCCCCTATCAGATCTTAATCTTTTAATTTTCTTATTTAGTTGATTTTCTACTTTAGTTTTATATTTTATGAACTCGTTATAAGTTTCATCTTTGTTTCTAAGCAAAGATACTTTAAGTCGCCTAAATCAGTGTGAATTAAACTAAATAGTTCAGATTCTCTTTCTACTGATTTACAGCTCTTTTTAGTAATTTTAGCTTCTGTGCATATTTCACATTTATCCATGTGTGTATTATTGATACCAGAAATCATACCAATTTTCTTCATTTTGTTTATGTAAGAAAAACTAACATGACCTAATCTACCATGCCATAAATCAATAGAGTCAAGCACATAAGCAGAAGAGGTACTAGCATTTCATTGATAATCTCAAGTACATTCAGAACAAAGAGACCTTGACTACAATATCCCTTCCCCACAAGGGATATTCTAGTCACAGGAGCAAAAGTATCGAAGTAGTTTACATCTTTCCTTTGTGTATAGCCCTTAGCTACCAATCGAACCTTAAATTTTTCAATTGATCCATCAGGTTTAAGTTTCTTTTTAAATATCCATTTACAACCTATGGTCTTAGTTCCAAGAGGCAAGTCTACTAATTCCCAAGTATGGTTCTGCATAATAGATCTAATCTCATCATTAATTGCCTCCTTCCAGAATGATGTGTCTAGAGATGCAATAGCCTCAGTATATGTTAATGGATCATTGTCTATTATGAATGTATAATATTCATCTCCATACCTTGCCAAGTAATGACACAGACACAAGATTCACACTAATTTCAAGGACATGGAGAACATCACTCAGAGATAGGACTTTTCCCGATGTGAGCTTGAGAAGAACTTTCCCTTTTTCCCAGAACAGGAGCTTGAATCGCCCATGTAAACAGTTTCTTCTCCTTCCCCTACAGGTGTGTAGGAGGTAAAAACACTTATGTTACCACAGATGTGCCTGGTAGCACCAGAGTCTACCACGCAGTCGTTGATGTTGGCAACCATGTTGACCTGAGAAACGACTGCAGCAATGACATCTACCTCAAACAGGTTTGCACTTGGTTTGGCAGGGTTGTCGTTCCTCTTCCTGTGCCTGCATTGTGGAGCATGTTGCCCTAGTTTCCCACAAACAAAGAAGTTTCCTTTCCTTTTGAATGTCGGGTTGTTGGTCTTGGGTCTATTATGATTTTTGTTGTCAGGCCTTCTGTTTCAATTGTCTCTTTGGTTGGGCTTTTCATTAACTAGGTTAGCCTTGGAGGATATCTCATTGGCTTTAACTGCCCTGAGTTGGTTCTTATTCTTTTCTTCTATGATGATGTGGACGATGACATCTTCTAGTGACATGTGTTTCCTCTTATGTTTTAGAGATTGTTTGTAATTTCTCCATGACTCAGTAAGTTTTTCAATTAGAGCTCCTGCAACAAACTCCTCTTGGAGCTTAATATTTTCATTCTTTAGGTCGTCTAACAACTTACGGTACTCATTGATTTGTGACTGGATGTCTTTTTCATCAGTCATTTGGTAGTGCAGAAAATTCCCAATGGTAAACTTTTGAGTTCTAACATCCTCAACTGTATATTTCTTATTCATAGATTCCCAAATTTCCCTAGCTTCTTTGTAGGGGCAATATACATCAAATAAGTCATTAGCTAATGTGCTAAGGATTGTGTTCCTACAAATCTTGTTGGCATGTTCCCATATTTTTAGTGATATTTCAGTTTTCAGAGTCCTTTTCAGGTTTGGGTTCAAATAGAGCAAAGGCAATCCCTATAACATCTAAAGCAGTGAAGACTCTTTCTTGCCATCTTTTAAAGGAGGTTCCAAAAAACATCTCAATTTTTGAGGTGTCGGGAAAAGCCTTAGTTGTAAGCAATGCAGCATCCATGGCCATCTTTATCCTTAAGATTGTTGTAAACGAATTGTGGATACGGATGCTAAATACAATAATAAAGAGAGATCAAAGAAATTTATCGGTTAAGGCGTGAGTAATCACTGTCCTTAAGGATAAATTTCGCCCCTCGAAATACGAATCTTGGTGCAGCAAGACAATGGCGACTACCCTCCAGGATACAATGACCGCTTCTCGTAAACATGCACTCGTAATGTGAGGAGGGAGGAACAACTCGAATTGGATTAGCCCACTAGTTAAAATTATTGAAAAAACTAATGAAGAAATAATTTTTGTGAAGACGAAAGAAGAAGGCTTGGGTATTTTGGCTAAGAAAAGCTGATGTCTTTGGCTTAGGAAGTCTTCAGTGTGCAGAACAAGAAGAAGAAAAGGTTTGCTTGTTGTATCTCTGCCTTGTCCCGTGAAGCATTTATATAGGTTGCCCAAGATAAAGAAAAAGGAAAGGATTCCTTTGATTGAGCCAATTAAGGCTCCAACGATTGAATGATTGAGTGGGAATCAACCCACTTATTCAGCACATGTGAAAGTAATTGGTCAATAGCTATTTTTGGGGAAATAAATATAAATTTAAAGAAAGTAAATATATGAGATTTCAATGTGAATAAATCAACACCAAGATTGCAGATTTTTGACTTTTGAAATAAACATGTGTCTAATATACAATAAGAATGAACACCAAAAAAATTAACGTGGTTCGATCCTTTGATTTACGGCCACACACAAAACCATAAAAGGGCTACATCTTTATTATTCTTGATCATATTCCTTAATCTAGGGATTGACATAAATCAGAAATCAAATTATACCACTAAATCTGGTTAATTGATTGACTATCAATCACATAATATCCCCTAGATATTGGGATATATTTTTATCTTCAACAGTCCCCCTCAAGTTTACACACGAAATTATTGATATGAAGTGATCAACTTGACCAATGAACTGGATGTTATCTGTTGAAAGTGCCAGCTCCTAGGACGACAATTTTAAGATTACACGAGGTGAATTATGATGAAGAATTTGCTGTCCAGATTTGTCTGGATAAACTCCCATTGAATGATAAATTGAATGGAAATATGCACGAAATGATCATTGTGCAAATATAAATTGATAGAAGCATGTGCATGAGCATGAGATTAACGTCATGCAACCAAAATGCAAGCAATTACACTTCTTGCAATTGTTGGACAAAGAAGACACCAATTGGGAATGAATCAAATTAAGTGGGTTGATT